AGAAATAAGCCAGCAACTATTCCAGCTTTGGAAGACAACATTTCCGAAGAAATTCGGGCTATTCCGGCCGAAATGCTCGAAAAAGTTGCCCAAAATTGGACTTTCCGAATGGACCACCTAAGACGCAGCCGCGGTCAACATTTAAATGAAATTATCTTCAAAAAGTAAATGTCATGGACCAATCTAACGTTTCAAATAAAGAACCGATGAGATTTTGCAAATTTTATGCGTTTTTTTTTAAAAAAAAAGGTATCAAGCTCTTAAAAAATCACCCGTTATATACTTATGTATGTATATATGCAAATACACTCACACGCGCAAGTAGCCATTTCAGTTGCAAGCAAAACAAATAGTACAACATTTCTTGCTCCCTTAACCCAACTGAACCTGAAAATCGACGACGGGATTAAGGCGCTGAGCGGATGAGGATGTGAGAGCTCCTGCGTTGTCATCGTCTAGACGTCGCTCTCGTAATTGCATCAGCAGCGTAATAACGAACGAAGGAACTAACGAACGCTCTTGGCATTCTGGATGCTGATGCTCCTACAACTCCTACAACGGCTGCTGGTACATACATACATATATCCCGCTTTTTTTTGTTATTGTGGCGTCATGCAATTTAGCTGTGCTTATTGGTCTTCCTGTGGCAACCCTAGCCCTAGCATAAATGCCTCCTAATTCGTAACGTCTATACTTAAAACTACATATGTATGTAGATATTATTTTATTCATATTCATACATTTATATATGTAGGTACTTACATGTGTGTAAAAATATATGATTTTGTTTGCAGTGATGTCTGTTTGTTAAACTTCTCGGACTCTCTAAATCGGTACAGAGCTGATGGTGGTTAAATTCGTTGGTACTTGTTTCTTTTTTTCTCTGTCGTTGATCTTTTCCAGTGGTTTCGTTATTCGATAATGTTTTTGAACATTTCAGTTGCCGCTTGATTTGGGTAGTATGTATGTAAGTGGAAACACACTTATTATTTGACTTTACATTAGGGTGGTCCAAAAATTCAATTCATTAAAATGTTAAGCTCTTGTTTTTTAAACGAAAAAAAAAAATTTCGAGCTTTTTCGTTTTAAAAGAAAAGATATGTATTTACAACTACTGCCTCACAGCTCATGAAGTTTTCCATGTACATAATTTATATAATTAAAAACACTTTTTCGTGGAAATGGTAAAAAATTCTTGAAAATCAATACTTTTCGATCGGAAAACTCTGTTCCCCTCTAGAAAACTTGCAGTAACAATACCTAATTGTTTATTTGACTATTTGTTAATAATAACTAACATTTATAGGTCGTCCAAGAAGTTCGAAAGAGGCAATGGGTGTCCCATAAAAATCGTTAGTTTTAAAAAATAGTAAAATAAACAATTAGTTATTATTATTGGAAGTCTCCTTAAGGAAACCAGAGTTTTCCGATCGAAAAGTATTGGTTTTCAAAAATTCTATACCATTACAAAATACGTGGAAAACTTCATGGGCTTTGAGGCAGTTCTAAATATCTTAAAAAAAAAATATGAGAATACTTTTCTTCCATTTAGAAAAATCATAGGGGATGAGAGCTTAACATTTTAAACATTTTTTGGACCACCGTACTTTACATACATATTTTGTAAAGTGCGCTAAATGTTTAGTTAAATATATATGTACGTATTTATTTCGGATTTAAATATTTTGGATTATAATATACATACTACATATGTATGTATATTTGGGTAGACCTTATATGTAGGAAGCAAAATTTTACATCAGATTTCCTAAGCCTCAAACCCTTAGTCGATGCTACTGTAGTCGAAGAAATCACCTATAAATTTTGGTCCCGATTGTTCGCGGTTATGACCGGTCGCACAGGGGTCCAAAATATATATGTGATACCTGTGACCGTGGTATCACCGATTTAGGGGGTGAGACTGAAAAAAATAGTTCATATGATTTTTAAGGACCAACCTAATTTATACACTAAAACCAATTTCTGAGATCACATTGTCTTTAGTAGATTCCCGATTACTTNGTCGCGGTTATGGCCGGTCGCACAGGGGTCCAAAACATATATGTGATACCTGTGACCGTGGTATTACCGGTTTAGGGGGTGAGACTGAAAAAAATAGTTCATATGATTTTTAAGCACTAACCTACATACAGTAAAACCAATTTCTGAGATCACATTGTCTTTAGTAGATTCCCGATTACTTAGATCAAATTTTTTCCTCGTGGATTATGTGAGATTAACTAAAACATCCTACCTCATTTCTACAGAACTCTAAGCTAAAAGGCTCAAAGCCATTTATTTAAAAAATTTTCGCAAAGCCAAATGCATGAATAGAAAACAATTTCGAAAGCGTTAAACTATTTATTTAGTGGTACAGAAACAATGAACATATTTTATTAGTTTTTGGTTTTTGGTCCACAATCAAAATCTGACCATAGGCAAACCATTTACGTTTCATTATTCCTCGATAACATATCAATGCATTCAATTAGTTTGCGACGTTTTTATAAAATTCGTTAGTAAAGGAATGGCAGCATATTTGGTTTAGTGTGCGGTACAGAGGACCAAAATTGGTGATTATTATGCGATCGCCACACTCAACACCAACTAGAGCGCTTGACAAACTCCCCGCTATGCTCGCTTTAGACCTAAGCTGGAGGGAAACAAAATGGTCTGACCTAGTCACCAGGGCCCGAGTCGCGAATTTGTTCGTGATTACTCGTTTTTAATGGAATCGAATCACATGGCAGCGTTTTTTTTTTTTCAATAGTAACGAATGCCGTGATGCCAAAATCAAATTTCGATTCAAGTTACGTTCCACATCGAATGCCACGATTAGAGCCCAGGTTCGGTCCAAGACTACCCTTAAATGTCTGTATAACATATGAATTTCCTGGATTGTGGGTCAGAGCATACTAAAAGCGGTGAACTGGCATACATGTATTGAAAGGGTGAAGGAACGCACTTGCTGAGTAGAGTAGCTCGTTACTTAGGCTGGTTTTCGGGGTCATCACTAGACACTGGGGATATATGTACATATGTACATATGCCAGCAGTGTGAGATCTCCAGCGAAAAGGTACGGCCATATTAGCGTGTAGAGACGATGAATGAATCGAGAAACTTCGAGCTATTTTTCGTCCGCTGCCAAGCCTTGGCTAAACTGAGACGACGAAGCCTTTACATATACTTTTTCCACTTTTTCTTTCAAACTGGATTTATTTCAAGGTATACACTGTCGAAATCAAATACTACCACAACGGTATCACAGCAGGTCCCAAGGCCTATGTGCGACACCATTTAGAATCTGGATTAAAGCAGTCACTTCCACCTAGTCAAATGTTTAACCAACTCCCGCCTAAGAGCGACGAAGGCATAGTCCGCAAGTCGTTCGAATCTTTTGTTTTTACTATGGTCAGGACCTTAGTTCGAAAGGATTCGCTGAATTCTTTTGATTGCCGCAAAATGTGAGAACGTCTTTTTTTTTTTAATTGACTGTAGTATTTCTATTAAATTTGTTTGCGCATTTTTTATCACTTTCCTACAGAGCTAATTGACCTCTTACAGTTCAGGATTTAATTTCCAATTTTGATTCAATAATTAATTTCTAACGAATTTGTCACACAATTTTACATTTTTGTGATGAAAGCTTATTACTTTTTAATTTGAATTCAAACCTTCTAAAACCGCATAAATTCTTTTAACAAAAATCAACAGAATTAACTGTTAGTCAATGGATCCTTTCGTATTGCGAAAAAAGCACCCAAAAATCTATATTAAATCTGCAGTTTTCATTTGACCGCGCTAAAGATGGTCAGAAACTAGAATTTCCCAAAACCCTGACAATGTCAATATTTTGGCAGTTTTCCTGCTTCTACGCATTCGTCTTCTCTGCTTTGTTTGTTTTGGGTTAATTTCCATTGACTGACGTTCCTTTCGCCTACACTCGACTGACTACCTCTTTCTGTGAATACAAAGAGCACTACAACAAATACATACATACATATGTAAGTTCGTTGGATCACGAATTCCCCGTTAAAATAAATAAATAAAGCAAACAAAACAAGCGGAAAATCATAATTAAATGGGAAAAAACGTGCTCACACCACTCTGAGGACAACTACCTTTTTCGGTTTCGAGGAGCGTTACGAGAAACGTGCCGTTTTCAGGGGATTCATCTGCAGAGCGGCAGGGAGTTGCACATTTCCTTTTTTGTTTTGCAATATTTGGCACTGCGTTTACGCGTTCACTTCGCCTTTTGAACGAAATCCGCACACTGTTTTTTTTTCGTTGTGCACTCTTACAATTCACCACAAAAAAAACTTGTATATTTTTTTTTTAATTATTTTCGTCAAAACTTTAACTATTTTCCAGAGTTTTTCACAAATTTCCACCAGATTTTCGCGTTTCGTAAGCGCACGAAATGTATTTTGTTTGTAGCTAAAATTCGTTTTTTCGTATTCTTCCGCACTTTATCTTTGATGCTTCTTCTTCTATCACTACTATGTAGATACTAGGGATTTGTTGTTCGTTGGTAGTAAATTGGAAATATCTTTGAATTTTAACTCCGTCCGCGTGACGCGTTCACTGCGTAAGTGGAGACGAAACAGCCTGTAGACGCGCTTTTCACTTCCATACTGACGGTCGGTCGTTGGACGCTGGCTTGGCTTGGCTCGACTTGACTTGGCCTGGCCTGGTTGGTATAGCTACGCGGCAGCGACGGCGGCCTCTGCTTGTGTGGTGGTTGCAATTCGCTGCCTGAGTTCAGCCGAGTTGAGCTGCTTGTTAGCTAGCGACGTGTTATGCAGTGTGTTGTGGTTGTTTTTGTTTTTGTTTTTGGGCCGCTCTGTGCGACTCGTGTCGTTTTATCTCACACATAAACACTCCAGTGGCAGTCACAATCACAACCCCAAATACAACAAAAAAAAAATGGACGTCACATTGAACCAAAGAAGCTAAAACTATGCTCTCCAGCAAATGCTGTCGCTCTTTCTTTCCTACTACGCCTTTCTTCGTTGTTGTATTACACACTGCCATGAATTCGTCCTCTCACCTGCCTCGACAGCACCTTCTACGATTTTTATCACAACGATTTCCACTACTCTGAGCGCTGAGAAACCATCGAGTAGCCAACGAGATAGTCAGTGTGGAGCACTCGGTATCCAACAAATTTCACTCGATTCTCACCCTCTTTTGGATTGTGGATAAGAACACGCCCAGGAGGAAATGTTTTTCTTAAACGTTAATTGAATCATTTTAAAAACATTTACCAGAGGGCTTTTTCAAGAGGTTTTAATTATCATCGGCTATATGATACCAAGCAGAAGTTTTGGCGCGGAACTATTGAGCAGTAACCGAGTACATGGACGAGTGAATCTCTGTATTGACAGGCGGGCTGCACTATCATTTCATAGCACTGCCTCAAGTTACGGGCAACGTGGATGTCGACAGACCCCCCAAGGAAGGCGCCCTTTCGGTAATCGTCCCGCTGGGTGTCCAGTCTTTAAAAGGCTGTGGGCCATCGCCTAGGAGTAAGTTGTCAACCAAATCTGAAGACAGCTGGAAAAATAAAGTATAGCAAGTGGTTTCAGGAAAGAGGATGCTATGTTCTTAGAAATTGCACCTGATTCCAGGTTTTCGTTTTTCTGGTAACGCTATGGACCTCAATAGTCTTTGCGAAGACATACAGTGGGTAGTGCAACTAGCCTAACCTAAACAAATGATTCTTAATAAATTCATCCTACATACAGTGGAGTTTACTGCGATTTATTAAATGTTGCACTATACAAATTATATTAACAAAAGAGCAAGTCAATACTTCAGTCACCATGTTCCTATAGGTGCTTCGGTAAATTCTCCTACAGTGAGAGGTGACACCTCTCTGCTCCCTACAAAAACAGAGAACTCGAGTGAGCAAACGCGTCGAAGAAAGCCAATGCACACTCACAAAACGCGCAACTAAATATTTAATTCGCTTATTTGTTTTGATTTTGCTTCGTACATTTCGTTTCGTTTCATTTCGATTATTGTTTACCAACGAACACTTCTGGCCGACTGGAGGTGACTACAATGCCGCGCCAACTTACTGGCCATTGCTGCAAGCCTGGTACTATTCCGGTCTAGATGATGCTCTTACTGCTCTAGTTTAAGCGATTGAAATGCGCTCGCTGGCACCAACCACACCGGCTGTCTTCGTTTGTCATCATCACCGTTGGCTGCGCGGCGCGGTGCGATGGGGAACTCCAAAAGTCGCAGACAGTGCTGTTGCTTGCCATGTTGTTGGGCGACAATTGAAAGGCACGCGCGCGTTTTTCTCAGTCGTTCGCCAAGCAACGCGAAATGACGCCTAAGCTGTGTGAAGGTAGAAGGGGAAAGAGAAAAATTCACAAACTGCGCGGACTATCTGTGCGCTGCGTTGTTCTGAAGGAGTTGGAATGAGTTTGGGTATGGCGTGGAGAATGAGGGGAGTGTATGGTGCGAAAACGCCAGCGGAGGGGGTGCTGGTACATAAATATGTGCTCCTTTTTTTGACATCGGCGTGGGGTGGTTTACACTAGAACGCTCTGGTTACCACTGCTGCTGAACTCTTCCCCCTTTGAGCCCCTCCATTCAATGCTTCCCAGAGACATTTTACACCTCATTTAATGTCCATTGCCCCCAAAGAAGGTGTTTCGTATGAACTGCGTTGAACCGCGTCTGGATCGCCTCAGTGTTTAGCGATCCTAATGGCATTGCCTCGCGCGCTGACACGTCTAGTCTCACGGCGTAAAATGAGTTATATTTAATTTCTGATTTTCCGCCAGAGATGTTTCAAATCAATTTGCCACTGAGACTGTGAACGTACAAAACAGGCGCTAGTTGGTTGACTGAGCGGGAGGAATGGGGGTGGTTGCACAGCGGTTGATGTTCGCGCGGGAAGGGCTAGTTGCGGGCAATTTTCAGCCGCATAACTTAGCCACTCACCGGCATCATCTTCTAATAGAGTTCCCAGCACGCGCCACATCCATGTCAGAAGACTACGCGCAATCAACTTTCCCCATCTCTGCTTCGCGCATCTTTGAACGCATGCCGCGCGCTCCCAACCACAGCGGCCCATCGCCGTCCAGCTACCAATTGCCTGCCAATAAGCAATACATATCTCGTTAGCGCGCGTTTTTATGGAATGTGGTTCGTTATTTCGAAAATATTTCATATTTTGAACACAGCGGTTTGCTGTTCGTCGTCGGTCGACTTGCGCATACCTGTCTGTGGCTCTGTGTTTGTTTGTTGTCGAACAATTTTGCGCAAAACTCGTGGCACTCTAAACGAACCGGCGACCAGCGCCAAGCACAGGCGGGTCCGCGTGCCGAGTCAACAAATATGCGGCCAAATATGCGGCGCGCTATGCGGTGGTTGTCTGTTTGCTTTTCTTTTGCCACTCACCCAATCCGTGCGCACAACTCACAATCAGACTGCGCTCACTTCGACCGCCCACCCCACCGTCCGCCTGCTTGTTCGATTGCGGTTGGAGTGCTCAATTACGGTTGGAGAATCGCCAGCGCGAGTGGGAAATGTGAATGCGAAATAGTTATAAATGTACATGTGAGTGCGCAAAAGTTGACGCGTTGACAAGTGTTATGAGTAGAAATTAGTGTTATCAGCGCTGTAATGACAGCGAGATATATATGTAGTTAAGTACTCAGATGCTCGTGAAAAATAAATAGTTATGTATTGAAGTGCTTGGCGTTGCTGATGAGTGCTTCTGACACACAAGCATACGAATAAGCGCAAAATTTTATAGCGGGGGATAACACGTATGTATTATGGCGCCAAGCAGATTCGAAGGTTATGAACCCGAGCATATTGTTTTGTTAAGATGTCTACGCTATTATAAGTTAATTCGTTTTAATGGTAAAAATCATCTAAAGCTCAACTAAATATTTCGTTCTTAATATATTCAGTACGCCCAACCCAAGATATAGTTCTGGTCTCATTAGCAACCTAACAAGTTCGTCAGCCAAGTATCCTAATACCCAAATAAGGTTTTCTTTATTGTAAAAACTAACGTTAACTGTTGTGTTAATTTTAGAAGTCTACTTTTCACAGGAATGGGGGATATCTTTATTTAAAGTTAAAGGACACGAAAGTGGGGCGCCCAACAAAGCCATCTACATACACTGAGAAAGTGCAGGAGGTGTGGGATAGCCGTCACCGTTTAACACTCATCGGATTTAGCAACTTTATCCTTCTCATTTTGATACCGGGACGCAGTGGAGTCATAGAGCATATTTGCATGGAGAAAGAAGCGCAGCATTACTGGACAAGAACGTATGGTGGCAGACCTTCAGTCTGGAAATAACAACAAACCGTCTTTCACCTTACTGGGCGGGATATAAAAGTTGTTATGGACTCTCTTACCGGCCGCTCCAGTATAATAAAGCACTTGTCAAACCTGAGAGTTGTTTAACCTGACCAGTTCAGGTGTTTATCAGGAACCAGCAGAGCACATAACGTTTCACTACTAGGCTCAGACTTCGCTACCTAGCATCACACGAGTTGCTGACGCTTCCCTCAGATTGCGTACGGGGAAGCAAGAATAATTGAACATCCCGAAGAATGACTATAAATCAATCTACTCCAAAAACAAAAGAGGAGCCGTAAGACACAAGTGCGGAGAAATCAGACAGAAATCAAAGTGAGGAGTGAACTGTTCACAACGTTTTTGATTGATACAACTTTTGGCGCTTCCGGCGATTGAATTTTGGAACCAAAAAAGTAAAATTGAACCCACTCCACCGAAAATTCTGACGAGGTGCAGCAAAAAAGTCGTTTGGACTTTATTCGCCCTACACAAAAACCACCAAATTGTCCGATAGTTCCAAGACTTTAAAGCAAGTATGGCCACTTACCTTTAGCTCACGATTATTTGTGGTAGTGCCCATCTCTGCTTTAAAGCAAAATCTTATATGCAGACGAATTATAAAAACCAGATCTATGAGTGATGGTCTCAGACAGAGCCTCTTCGGCATATGGAAGAACAACATAGCAAATTCCTCTTCATAGTTAATTCAAACATATTTATTTTTAAGCATGCGTTTTCTCTTCCTTACCTAGCTTCAATTTAATAGATTGCAATTTTTGTCGCTAAAAAATGGTCAACCTAAATACAAACACAATAAATAAATAAATTCAAATTTTGAAAAAAATAAAAATACAAAATTCGAGACAACAATCAGTTCAGCGACATTAACACCAGGGTCCTTTAAGCTCCAAAACAATTGTGATAAAATCCACAACGTCAACGGACTCATTTGAACCAAGTAAAAAGTGTAGACTCCACGCCACTCGGTTAGTTGCACATAGTCGGGCCAAAGTTCAATGACAAAGACGCGCGCAAGTCAACGCAGCGCCAATGACGGCCTTGAAACATCGAACGCATCTAACAACGTCCACAACCACAACAGCCAAATTCTTAGCCAGAATGAGAGGAGTGCCAACATAAACAAACCTCTGTCCAAACCAACACAAATAAGCCAAACATATTTACGATGCAGCGCAACATTTGCTAGCCAACATTTTCTTGCCAACATTTTGTTGCCACAACACCAAGTACACAGCCTCGATGGAGGCGAGCATCAGCCTCTTTGGCCGAATGTAAGTAAGCCTTGCATTCTTCTAATGGCCAACAAAATGCAGACGAGCCTCTATGCTGCTGCTATGAAGCAGCAAAGTGGGTTTGCCAGCTCAGCTCAGCTCAACTCAACTCAACTCTGCAACTGCACGCAAGCCAGTTAGGTGACCGCTAAAGCCAAACCAAACCAAGGCAAACCAAACACAACACAAAACAATTGGATGTGTGAGTGAGTGTGTTGGGCGCCGTTCTGCCATTCAACCGCGTTGCCGTTCTTGTTCAATAGAAACTGCACTCCTGGTTTGTCGTTGATTTCAAGGATTTTTCTGGCGAGCCACCTACCAACAAACACTTGTGCGCCGAGCTGGCCCGGGCATTCGCCCCTGGGAGTACAATGCCATCGAGTACATCGAGTCCATCAAGTGTGTGCTGTGCAAAAGTAAACGAACGAACGAGCGTTCATTGGCGCGAAGTTGATAAGTTCATGGTCAGTAAGCAGTGTGAATGGAGCAGCAG